GTTTGTAGAGTCGGCATGAACACTAAGCTTTCAGCTCCAGCTTCTGTCCATCCTTCCTGGCTGCATTTTCAGAACATTGCTGAATATAGTAGTTCTAGTGTGATTCTAAATATTAGCTGTGCAAGGGGTTATGGAGATGGCAATGCTATCGAAGTTGGGTGTTCCTGGGCCTTCTGAGTAGCACTTCCCTCTGAGAGGAGTGGCATTGCTTTCCAGGAAAAATGAAATGTTTTGCAACAGTACTACTTGTACATTGTTCATCATCTGAAAGAGTGGATGAATCTGGTAATTTCCAGTTTTGAGCCTCAACCTGAAGCATGTAAGATTGGCCAAAGAAATTGGCCAATTGTTCATCTAAGACATCCCTTCCCTTTCTACCTTTCCCTTCTCAAAAAAACCTAAGGAAGCAACCATGCAGCTGTTTCAGTAAGGGATGTTCCTTTTGCTTATACCCTACGGTGATTCAGGAAATAACTGGAATTTCAGGTGCAATGAGAATGAAGGATTGGACCTGGCATTATTATCTGAATTCATTAATAAATATGTACAGAAGAACTCTGTCCCTTCAAAGCGTTATGAGACATCAGCTGGTTTGACTTCTTCTTTAGGACAAGTAAGCAGTTTATTTTCGTGGGGGATTATTATAGCTAAATTACAGCCTCATATGCTCTTCATGAGACAAGAAGGACACTTTCACGAGTAGCTTTTTCTTACAGTTGTGGTCAATCTTAATGTGTGAAGGACAGAGCTTCCTACTTGTTTCCAGTTAATTTCAGAATTATTTTGCTTCAGATGTTTCTGAAAACAAACAAAACAAAATGACAAGGTGAAATGAGAAATCTTACTTTTGGATCTAAAAATTGCACAGAGAGTACAGGTGAATGAGCTCTTGAGTCAAATTAATGGCTGCAAGTTAGGGCTTGTCTGTGCTGTAAAATGGTTTGTCAGTACCATTACACCAGCAATCCCAAGACTACAGCAAAAATAAAGCTAATATATGACTCCAACACAGCTATGCCAGCAACTTTGCCTAAATAAGTGAAACTCATACCAGTAAATTTTTCTTTTAGCTTATGCAGTTTAGGGAAATATTTTATCTACATGGGGCCAAAGAACTTATCAAGTCAGTATAAATTGTGACTCCAGCAAAAAGTCTTCCTAGTGTCTCTCCAGTATGATTACAACCACGGTGCCTGTGTCATGTTGCTGGTCTGGCAGACATGGGAGAAGAGATATCTCCCTCTTGGAGAGTGGCTTCCAAGAGGTGTGCCCTGGGGCTGATGTAACAGAGGTGTAGGCCTGGAGGGAAGTTAATTAATAATTTAATTAATATTTAATGGCAATATGCCAGTGGTACTAAGACTTCACTAGTGGGCTCTGTTCCCAGCTCTGCCACACTATAAAAACATTTGAGTCTGCAGTCTGGGGGAATGGCTGAGCTTGTGCACGTAGGAAGAACATCTAGAACATCTAAATAATCGTGGTAGTCTCCCCTGCCCTTAGAGTCTCTGAACCCACAACTGCTTTGAGACAAACTGTTTGAAGTCCTGCCTGTGTCAAAGCTAAGAACTGATTTGCAGCTCTAAGAGCAGCACACTATTTATTTGCTACCTCTTGATTCTTTCTTCCTTCTGGAATTACCATTGGTTGCAATCTAGAAAAAAGCTTCACTTCACATATTAGGGGAAAGTGGCAGTTGAAAAATTACCTAACAATGAAAATGAGCAAAGTAGATGATGCCCCCAAATCTGCACTGAAAGTTACTCAGGAGGGAGACTTTCAAAAGTGCTGAGAACACACAACTACATTCATGGATTTGGGTTCCTCACTCCAATATCCCCAAGGCTACAAAGTTTGCCAAAGTCTTTCAGCCAGAGGTTTTTCTAAGACAGAAACTGCTAACTTAGAGGGTCAGTGGTATGAAAGCTCCAGAGAAATGTCTTAGAAAACCAGTACAAAAGGATTAATGAAGACGTGGCAGGGTCAGAAAGGCTGCTTTTTCATTTGTAGTACTGGCTCTACATTTCAATTATGAAGGAACCTGAATCTCAGCACAATCAAGGTAAAAAAGAAAAGTTGCTCCTCAATCTGTTTCATACAATTACTTTAAAAATTTGGTACAAATTGAAAATACAAAAAACTACTTTGCCTAAACAAAACCCCCTCAGCTGTTCGGTCCATGAGAACAGGAAAACACAGCTGTGTATTTTTTTCATTCACTCCTGCATTACTCTATCTTTTCTACTCTTCCTTTCTTTTTGTCTCCTATTTAATAAGCACAGAAGGTTAGTCAGCTGATACCATTCCTTTTCTGGCACTTATGTGCAGTTCAAGTCCAGAAAGCAACGTCCTAAAACAGTCTGACATCAGTACTCATTTTCAGCTCTCCAGGTGGCTGGACCATGTTGTTTTGATCCTTTTTCAGCCATGAGATTACAAGGAGCTATCAGGACTGGAGACAGAAGCTGCCTCCTCTGGTTTTGCTGCTATTCTTTTGTTGCTGTTGCTGTTCCTGCATGCATGCCTCTCATTTTTGTCTGCAGGGACATAGGAGGAGACATTACAGCAGCACCACCAGTATTCCAATTCGATGAAATGGATCTTTTCTCTTCCGATTTTCTCACACCCAAGAAAAGCCACTGTGGACATCTTTAGTACCACCTAGAAGACTGTAAAACTGAAGGCTTTCCTCATTAAAAAAGTAGAAACAACTCATGACAGTAAAAGAAGAGAAACTTGTCTTGTTAAAAAGAAACCCACACATTTTAAATGCTTCCAGGGTGGTGTGTTTATTTTTTTCTTAATTTCTCTTGAATCTTTAATGAAAGGTTAAATAAAATATGTTAATGATGGTTGTTGCTATAGCAAGCTCAGGCATCTGTAGTGAAGTCCCTTGCTTAATTGCTTATTGTTCTGCAGTGATGAGGTCATGTTAACATCATTGACCCACTGGGCACATTTTTTCTATCAAAATTAATGACCTGAAGCAAGTCTCTGTTCTTTCTTTCTCCCTGTTGCTTAGGATGAGGACTAGCTCTTAGTAGTATCATCCTGGCATGCGTCAGCCCTGACTGTGGAAAGATTTTGCGGGTGACACTGGGGAAGCACTGCAAATAATAAATACTGGGTTTTTTTAAGTAGACCTGACTGTTGAGGTTTACTTCTGTATTTCATTAAAACTATTTTTCCTCCTAATGACTCTATTTAAAAGTAATTTAGATCAATAGATTTAATTTTGATAGATCATACATACCAAATAATTAAAAGTGGACATTAATAAATAGAATAAATATTCTGAGGAAAGAAGGGACTATGGGTGGGAAATAGTTGACTGATGAATTCTTCAAGAACTAACATGATCAGATATTAAGTATTGGCACAGGTGAAGGAGACAACATATTTTGGTGCATTATTTCTCTACGTATAAGCCTAAAACAGCTAGTTTGGTTACTTTACCTGGCTAGATATTTTATAAGACTTTCACCTACATTAAAGGTTAATTGTATATGCCCACATCAAATCCGTATTTCTCTCAATGGTCACATGTGAGAAAGCTTAATAGAAATTTTAAGTGCTAGAAAATAAAGCCATAATGGAGGATTTCTGATGGCTGGGGGAGACCAGCAGCTGGAGGAGCCACATGCTCCTTAGCTAATAATTTCAGAGGGTGGATACCTGTGCGAGACATCAAGGATGATAATTTATGAGACTGCTTTATAATCCAGACAGTGATCTCTCTCAAGGTAGCAAAGGTCCTTTCTTTCATGTTTTGCTAGAGCCCCATTAGAAGACAACTAATAAAGTGAAACCTTACCTCCATTGATAGGGAGTTTAAAGGGCAGGTGGATAAAGACTTAAAAGGAGCTGATGCCATAACAGTAAGTACTATAATCAGATGCTGATCCTCTACTTGGCTTGCTTCTTGAGAGCATGCTTTTCCTTTAATGCCTATAGCTGTAAGGGGTATTTTAGTCAAAAGAGAATTTAATTCTCTCTTTCTCAACTTCTTTACATGATAAAGCAAGACCCCACCCTCAGTGGTATGTGGACTGAGGAAATAATGTGTTACATGAAACATCCTACTTTGTTTCATTTCTCAGTCTTTTCTGTAACTTTGGACTTTCTGCAGCTGTGAGCAGGGGAATAGATGGTCTCATGTATACCACACACTGCCCTGGATGTCATGTTTCTGAGGGGTTTGAGCATTTCAGAAAAAAAATAACAGCTTATTTCAGATTCATGATATTGCTTAACTCAAATACAACATTAACATTGCATGCCAGTTAAAAATAAATAGAAAGTACATTTTGAAATAAAATACCACTTCATAAAAAATATTGTTTTTTTTGAAATCTCTGAAACAAAAAAAATCAAGTTTCTCTGTGTTTTCATGGGTTTCTCTTCACAAAAGAAGTCATTCAGCTGAATCAAGTGAAGTTCATACAAGGTTTAGCTGTGAGTGAAAAGAGCTGGGACCACATAGTTTCACTCATACCTAGAAAAAGTCTCATCTCTGTCTAGCTGGAAACGATGCCTAGAGATCTTTAGAAGCAAAGACTCTCTTCACTAGCACCTAAAGCCTCTGCAGATTGCCGGAGCAGAACCCTGAGGTTTAAATGAAAACACAGATTATTCCTGAAAGCTTTTAAAGTGACTAAACTTAGTCACAAGGCATCCATTTCCAAAAAGAGGAAAAGGATTGAATTCAGAGTATTATAATTTGTTACAGCAAACTGGCAAAAATCAGAAGAAATGCCTGTGCACTTCTATCCCCAGAACAATGATAGGTACTGCTTTAACAAAGGTGACACGGCTAAGACTGACAGGGGGTCACAGGTGGCAGCTCAGAGGTGCCTTTCCTGCCATATTCACAGGACGTTTGGGGTAAAAGCAGCAGCCCTAAGGGAAAAACCTCTCTTGTTTCAGGGAGTGAAGGTTACTGGCCAGTCTGAAAAATCACTCTGCCTGCTCTTGTTTGCATAAGTGACCATAGGTTATGCTCACCTTCTTCCTTCAGAGACTGCAGGCTTATTTCCAATGCTGCTGTCATGAAATGCTTTTCTTATGTTTTCAATTATGTTTTCATCCACATAGTCATACTCTTCTTCCTCTTCTTTTTCTGCCTCATAGTTACTTGTTAAGCCTGAAAAAATAACAACAAACAACTGTAGGAAATGGAAGACTCTGCCCTTGGCCTGAAAAAAAAAAAGTACAATTCAAACAGGCAATCATAAAAACAAAGAAAACAATGTTTCATTTTTTGCATAGTACTAGTACCTCTAATTTGACCACTCCCTGCTACCTATGCACATATAACTAAGGTTTATTGAAACATTTAAATGATATAATCACTAACATCATAAAAGCAGGCAGATAAAATTATTTGACCATAGTAAGAGAGGAGTAGTCCACTTGCCATGACCCACACATACCATCCTTACCACAGATGTGCTCCCATGCTCCTGTGTTTCGTTGCCTGACAAAATGAGCCACTGCAGCTAGGAAACCATGGTGTTACCTTGGGATTTCCTAGAGCCAAAAACCCCACTTGCTGCTTATTCTGAAGTGAATAACAGAGACATAGTCTTGAAAGTGGCTTGAGGTTAAAATGAAAAGTGTTGAAGTACATTTCTTTATATCCACCTAAACTAGCCTGAAGTAACACTGAGGACAAACCTTTCAGAAAGCAGCAGTCTTTTCCCAAAAGGGCAGAGACCCTCACTGGAGGCCTCTTGGGAGTTCAAGGGCTGGGGCAGCCCCTGCTTTTCATCTGGGCACAGCAACAGTTTCACACTACAGCTCACACTGATGAGCTACAGACAGCTGTCAGGAGGCCCCAGTCTCCTCCCCTGCTTGGGTGGTCCTACCACTTCCCTGAAGCTGGAGGAAGCTCTGCAAGACACATGGGCCCACTGGTCTCCCACAGAACCCCATAAGGATCAGTCAGTGCCCCACATCCCTCCTCTAGAGCCACCCCATCTCTCAGCTCAGGCTGTGGTGGGGAAAAGCCAGGTAGCAACAGGACCAGCCAGGGCTGAAGTAGTGGCAGTGGGACCAGCTGGAGCTGAGGTGGTGGTGGAGGCATCATCAAAGTTTCCCTGCCAAGAGCAGCTCACCCTTGAAGTTTATCAGGAAGACTATAATTTAATAGAGCTGAGAGGATACTGTATTTCTACAGCAAAAAGTTTCACCTGAAATTGCAAAACCGTGTGAAACACTGCTTTGGGTACAGCTGGTTGTTTAATTTGTTATGACACAACCTGAAACAACCTACAGTAGTGCACTAGCTGACCTCGCAGCAAGGCTGTGCTTGTCAAACACGTCCTTCTTTATGGGACCAAGCTTCTCAAACACAAATCCTCCCAAGTTTACTCTTGCAACCACCGTGTGCCCCTTCACCAAGACAATAATTGCATAATCTCTCAGCAGTCTCCAAATCCCATTGTGTTCCTCCTGAGACTCTCCATGGCTGACGTGTCTCTCCCTGAGAAATTATTACTACCCAGTTTTTTTCTGAAGTTGCGATCCTTTCCTTTATAGGTTTTTTTCAAGGCTAGAAATAAACATCAAGTTAATCAAGCAGCTGTCTGGCTACACCAGTACACAGTCTATCACAGACCGATTTATACAAGTCCCCTGCTACTAAATTAGCAAAATATTTGCAGATCTAGGCATCAAAAGGAAAAAACCAAAAAGGAAAAAATCCCAAAAACATGATTACAAATGTATTGAAGATCTCATTCCCACATATGGCCACTATCTTGTTAATAAGCATTTCCAGGTTTGTAGTTCATTTGCAATTTGGCTATGTTTGATATCAGCAAAAGTAAACTAATGAATAAAACAGGCACTGAAAGAATAAGCTAATCCCTGTGATTCAGCAAGGGAAATACTGTTTGTGCACTTAGACTTGCTAATACGGATATAAGGTACAGATTGCTCATGGGTGGCATAGCTAGACTTTCTTCTTTCCCAAACATGTGCAAACAAAATTATATGGTTCTAAGCAAGACAGCTCAAGGAGAAAGAAAATTAATGTCATCAGGCCAGACAAAATCACAGCTGTCCCCAGTACCAAACTTGTGCAGGATACCTTCTCAAATGTATATATTTACACTTCAATAAGGCATTAAGCTAATGAATAGACAAGCTGAACAATCCCAAGGGGATTCTGAATATTGAAATCAATGCAATTTACTTCCCTATTTGAAAAAAAAATCTCTTACCCTCAACACTGAATTACCTAATCAGATAGGCCATGTCAGCGTGCCAAAAAAACAAGGCTTATGTCATCGTGCTGTCTATCCATCCGTCAATCTCTTTGGTACTTTTACAAGTTTATTTCTGCCAATTTCAGTCAGATTTGAAAAGGGGGCAGAAGTCTTACCGTAGTTACAAAAGCAAGATTTGAATTAGTTCCTCCATTGAAAGAGAAGGATGCAGAACACAGCTGTTATACACTCCATTTGGCAGCAGACAGCAGGATAAGTCAGCGTGTGCATATTGGTTGGCCATTCAACACACACATAGCTCCAGACCTGCTCTTTGTCATTTGATAGGAGCACCATAAGGAGAGTTTTGGTTTTTATCGGGAAAGGCAGAGAGGAGCAGTAGGGGACAACAGACCTGAATATTTATTAAACCAAATTTCATTAATTCTGCTCTTCCTGGAACAATTTGTATAATTACGTTTGGCTTTATAGTGGAAGGGTAGTGCTCTGCAGACTAAAATTTTCCATTTATCTCACTTGTATCTTCAAGTGAGTAGGATTTGATTTTTTTTTCTCAGAATATACTTGCTGTTTTTCACAAATTTCAGGGTCAGAAATGGTTGTCATAACTCTCCATTTTGGTCTTATTCAAAATGTAGGCAACAGAAGTAACCCAACCCATCAAGACCCTTGGTTGGATGAAACAAGTGCTAGAGGCCCCAGCTCATGTACATACAAGGTTGGCTTCACACCTAAATGCCTTTGGCTCTGTGACCATAACACATTTTTATAGCTATGGTAAGTATTTCAGATCAGTATTTACAGTGCAGAAATTAACATTCAACCACACAGCATTTATTGTTTATTTATGCCTAACTTGAAAAAAGTAATTGTGAAATATTCTGCATAATAATGTTATGAATTCAACATGGTAGAACCACATCCTTATTTATGCACATCACATAAGTGAAAATGCACAGAACTGAAAGTATATGCATAAACCAAAGTGTTTTTATGAACAGCAGCATTTTATTTGCTGTGAGCCTGGTTCTAATGCTCCTCAGTGCTAATGAGAACTAATTCCTTAGGGACTGCTGCTGAAAGTCGTTCAGTGACAGCAGAATCTGAGCCCATAAAACTAATGGATTGTTCCTTGAGCTGATATCCATCAACCGTTCCTTCATGTGATGATGTAGTGTATCTTTAAAAACTGTTAAGTGCTACAGTCAAAATATTTCATATAAACTGTAGAGCTGCAATTCATGTATGGGTAATGTTTATCTCCCTCTGGAATCTACTAACCTATTGTTTGGAAAAGTTTAATCTTAAATTTAATTTCTTAAAAAAATCTTAAGTTTCCTGAGAGACACAACTGTTCACCTCTTTCACTGTCCTTTTAATTTTTTTTTCTTTCTCAGTTTTTTTTTCTAGTCTATCTTGATGGTTTTAATGAACTTTCTGAGATCTAATTTCCACTGTTGCGCCACTGCCTTGTATAAAATAAATCTCCAGTGTATCAACAGCTCTTGCAGATCAGAAATGGTTGCCATAAGTTTTAAACAATTACGTATTTCTTGCCTCATCACACGTTCCTATAAGAGGATAAGGGAAAGGGCTCAGGGCACCATGAACCACACTTTCCCAGGCTCTGAAGTGCTGCTCTGCATGACGCTGGAGGAGCAGAACCTGCCAGAGAGTGGGAGAGGGGACTGACATGATGTACCCTTTAGTTACACTACATATAACACTGCGATACCCCCTCTTTGCAACCATATCGATGAGCTTCTGCCTGGAACCTCTGCATATTACTGCAATTAAAACCACTCATATCTAATAAATCAGTAAAATGTGGAAGGACTCAGAGCCTATGCTTTCTTCCCCCTGCTGTACAGCAAGTTAGAGTTTGGTTAAGGGCAAAGCTGATTGAAAATGTTTAAATATAATTTACTAAAATGTACTCACCATCCTATGAAATTACATGATCTCCACATTTTAAGCAATTTTCTTGCCTTTTTGTAAACTGAGCTCAGAAGATGTGGCAGCCAAGAATGTTTTGTGTTTACAGCCCAAAACCCAACAGTCTTTTTTTTTGTAAGATAGTTACAAGACCAGAGGAGCCAAAGAATCTAATAACACTTTTGCTCTAATCAAAGCCTGAGCTGAGTGTGGAAGCTGGAGAGAGTTGTCACACATGCATAGAGTAAAGGATTCCTAATTCATATTGCTTATCCCCTGCACCCAATTCAGAACACTAATGCAAAATCCCTGTGATGACATCAAAAAGAAAGAGCAACTTATTTTCAAAAGAATTTAGAATTCTATGTTTTGCTTTTTAAGTTTTTGGGTTTGCTATGTTTAATTCATTTTAATACAGGTTTTAGAACGCAGTGACATAGCCTCATGTATTGTCTTAACTAATGGGACAGCAAGTTACAGCACAGGGGTAAAAATTTCTTAAACCATCTTTGCTGCCAAATTTATTAGACATTATATGTGTATCCTAAAGTACAATCAGAGGGCCCATTTCTCTTTTTCTTTCTCAAGCCCACTAGCCTCCTAAATCAAGTGCCTAAAGACAGTATAAATAAATACCTTCCCTAAAATATCCTAACATCAATAAATAAAATCAACGTAAATACTGTTTTACTGCAGACTGTAACAATTCCAGAAACTAAGCCATGAGCAAGAAGATTATGCAATGTTTCAGAAACTCCACATAGAATAACTTTCAAGGTTAAAGAGAAGCTGATACAGCAGATTTCTGCTGAGAGTTATCCTGCAGATATTGCTACTATTTCTAATGGATTCAAATTCAGTCAAATATTAGAAAATAATATTTTTAGTGGCCTATTGAGGTTTAATTGCAACAGAGGAAAAAGGTTCAATTTCTTAGACATAAGAATAATAAATCCTACCTTTATTAACATGAACTCCATAAGGAAAGACAATAGAGGCTTTAAAACTGAAAGAAAAACATGTTGCTTTTCCTTTCAGAACTATCTGGCCTTTGGTAAGAAATACTAATTGTCTCTGTAACTAGTTTTTTTTTTGAGAGTACATATTCAACATCCTTATTAGGAATTTGAAACAGGTTGGTGCTTTGGAGGGTGGCTTAACATTCATCAGTGGAAGTTTAAAGATTACTCAGTGAATGGTGCATTTCCTCCCACTCAAAACCCACAGGAGTGAGTCTGTGTTATTAGTCTTGACATATTTTCTAAATCCATTATCTTGTGAATTAGCAGAGCATACTCTCTGGAACAGGCAATCTTGCTGCATGCAACAATGGACTCATGGGGATCTCTTGGCTGGCCAGGAAGAACTGTTTTATCATCTAATCCAATCTCCTGTATAATTCTACAGTCCTATTTGAATAAAGCCAAATAATTTTGGGCTATACGAACATACATTTTTCAGAAAAACCTTTAGCTTTAATTTGGATATGTCTGTACAATCCACCACTGTTCTTCGGACAAGGTTAAATCTGCCCAGCTCAAAGACACACTATGCTCCAATTCAGACAGAGTTTGTAAAGGGATATACTCCAAGGCAATTTCTTAGCACTTTCCTAGTCTTGCAAAAAAAGAATCATTATGATAGTACTTCTTGATTTTCTATGTGTGTACTTAACTGAAGTACCAGGAGTTTGTTTGAAACCTTCAGTAACAAAGGTTATTCTTTATCTGGTGTTCCGTGAGTAGTCTAAGCAAATACATTATATAGGATGAACTTCAAATTATCTAATGGCCACTTTCACGATAAAGGAGACAGGAGACATGTGACTGATGAGCTTTTTAATCAGATACATGGCTAAGAACTGTGCTAGCAGGCAAAAGTTAAGTGCTGTGAATCTTTGCAGTACCAGAGGCCTGCAAGCATTTAGCAGTTGTAACATCACTTTTTCTCTAATACTCTTGGTCATACACACAAAACTACCTTCAAAGCACAGGTCTCTAGTCATCTCAGGGAAATAGATAGGAAACAAATGAGCCTGACTGATACTTCAAGTTTTTAAAAAAATATGTCTACTGGACACAGGAATAGTTAAGTCAGAAATCTACCATGACAGTTGATATGTGAATCTCAACCAGCAGGAAAGTAAACTCTGCTTTCTCAGAAGGGATGTTACAACAAATATTAGGATCTTGATGGAATGAGGAACAAAGGAAATAGAGCAAGAATAGCTAAGAGAAGATATTTCCAAACTTTAAAAAGCCCCTAGAAAAGGCTTTCTTCTCAACCAGACTGTTTCAGAATTAAAAACAAATGGAGAATTGGCTGGGACAAATAGACTTTTGCTAGAAAGTGAAAAATCGCAATAAAAATCAAGTGCTGTTCAGAAGTCTGAAAAAGGTTTATCAAGGACATATAAATAAGGCTTAATGGGGTGGACAAAAGACTAAATGCTAGTGCCTCTGAGTGAACATAGAGAGAGGTGGCAGGCAGACTTCAAGCAGGGCAGCTCAGACAGTCAGCAATATTGTTTTGTTTCAACATAGTGCTGAAAGATGCTCAGTAGAAGGTCCAAATAATGAACTGCAGAAAGTCCAAGTCTGTTTTCTAGTGTCCAGAATCACTAACTGCATTAGCTAACAAGCAGCATGAAGGAGAAGGAAGAAACTTTGCTGGTAGCATGGCTAACAGAGGCAGCCCTCTTTCTAGGGCAGGTAAGAGGCACAGGAAGTGACTGTACGACTCCACTTCTCACTGCATGAACCAAGCAGCTGTGTTCAGAAAAATATTTGAAGAATCTTGACTGTAAAGACATTTTGAAACTTTAGCCTGTGTGACTTTCCCTGTCTGTGAGGAGTCTGGACCCATCAAGTAAGCACCTACACAAGCACTGACTACTGTGTCCTCAGCATAAGCTTTATGTCTGGCTTACTACAGTAAGGAAGCTTTGGTCATGTTTTCTTCAGGCGGGTTCCCCCTGCTTCCCATGCCTGCCTTACCCCACAGAGACTAACTCATGCACATGATGCAACTGATCCCTGTAGCATGGACAGCAGTTTTCAAACTCAAGCCTCAGTGATTTGTAGGTAGTTCCCTTGACAAAAATGAGTACCACATTAACCCATACTGGTTTTTTTGGGGGGGGGATTTAAACAGAGATACTGTCCTTTGTAGCTACCAATATGTAAGCTTCACCATTTACCCCTATAAAATCTAATCAATTCATTAAACATTGACAAAATGAAGCCTGAAGGGAGATTTTTCAAAGTCACAAAATAACATATGTGGAATTATATTTCAAAACAGCCAGATACTAAAATACTTTTCTGTGCTGGTTTTGGCTGGGGTAGAACTAATTGTCTTCATAGTGGCCTCTATGGGGCTATGTTTTGGATTTGTGCTGAACACAGGGTTGATAATATAGAGATGTTTTTGCTATTGCTGAGTAGTGCTTACACAGAGCCAAGGCCCCTTCTGCTTCTATAATGCCGCACCGGCAAGGGAAGTTGGGAGTGCATGGTAAACTGGGATGAGACACAGCCAGGATAGGTGATTCAAACTGACCGAAGTTTGAAGTTCCATACCATCTGATATCATATTAAGTATATAAAGTGGGAGGAAGGAGGAAGAATGGTGGGACATTTGGAGTGATGGTGTTTGTTTTCCCAAGTAAAGGTTATGCGTGATGGGGCCCTGCTCTCCTGGAGATGGCTGAACACCTGCCTGATGATTATTTGTTTTTCTTTGTTTGTGTGTGTTGCTTTTGCTTTCCCTATTAAACTGTCTTAACCTCAACCCATGAGTTTTCTAGCTTTTACCCTTCCAATTTTGTTCCCGATCTCACTGGGGAGAGTGAGTGGGCGGCTGCTTGGTTGCCAGCTGGCATGAAACCATGGCGCTTTCAAAAATCAGTCCTCAAATAATCAACTTCCACAGCAATAAGGATTAATGAATATTCAGCATGACACTGTAATTCTTCTATATAAAAGTTACATTGCTTTTAGAAGTTTCAAATAGACAATCCTTTTTGAGAGTCTGACACACTGAATGACAAGAAAATAAAGAGAAACCTTATGGGAAGTTCTTATATTGATATCAATTATCAGTTAACAAATGCTGTGAGGATAAGTATTTGTGCTTTAGTCTTCCAAATGTTCCAGTGTTGTAATTAATGTGATGTGATCGTATTTCAGATATAACCTGTGACTGACAGAGTAATGAAATATTTTTTTTCTATTAACTGCAAAGTTATTATATATATATAATAAATATAATTTGGATTTGTCCTCTTATCATCTAGCTTCTCAACTTCAGTATGGTTCCTTTCTGCAAAAGGAAAAACTTGAAAGATAAGTACAAAAACTAACTATCTATCAAAAGTTATGGGAAATCCAAACAAATGGTGACTTTAAAACCAATTATCAGTCAAGCAATTTGCTTAATATTATTTTTTTCTTCAAAATACAAAAATGTGAGTTGAAGACATCCTCATATTTTTATGCAAAATGCTTGCTCATCTTAAAACCTTTTGGAATAGGTATTCTTTTCTAACAGATTATGTGTAAGCATCACCCTAAAGCTAAAGGAAAGCACATCTTTTCCAAACGTCTGTTCCTCAAACCCACTGAATATTCATGCTAGAGTGTCAAACAGAGTTTAATACCATGCTGCTGTTGAGAGCTTGGATGAATTTGCCTTACGGCATTTATGGAGGAAGAACAGAAATGTTCACTTTTCATCCCTTTTGACTAAGCCACAGATTCCAAGTGAAATAACACAAGATACTCCTGTATGTCAGTCTTTCATCAGGGCTGACGTTAAGCTTTGTTATATTAATAGCTCAAACCATAAAGCTTAACTGACCTTTAATCATAGTAGTTTCCACTAGTGGAGCTTTCCCAGTCTTGTCCTTATTCTCACAATGCACCAAATCATTTTGACAACCAACTTGCAATTCCGAAACATCAGCAGCTTGACTTGAGCACAATTTCTTCATGGTATCTACACAGAAATTCTGAAACAGAAGAGTACATTAACTTTACATGTAAATTGTTATTCCTAACCGATGCATTCAGAGATGTGACATGTAAGAGCAACATTCTTTGAGTTGCTTCTGTGAGTTTTAACCACAGATCTGTTTGTCAAAGTCATGGATCACATTTACCACAAAGCTTGTCTTTGAGGCATGTACATCACAAATAACATGAGCAGAAGGCACTCTAGGTGAAGAAATTACCTCTAAAACATATCTTCAGTCTTTCTTTTTTTTTTGTGGTGGTTTGGGTTTTTTTTTGGCTATATGGAGTCACACAAACAACAGGAGATTTATCTATCCTTTTGGTTGATACAGATTACTTTCTGATTAACTATTTTGATTGTATTGATTGCTCATTTAATGTGTTCTGTTAGATATTACAGCACAAATTCGTATAAAGTCTGACATTTCAATTCCATTTACCCAGTAGCATTCATAGCACAGTGAGTATAGATGGATGATGGGAACAGACAATTATGGAGTAATTAATTATAGTTTTACTACCTTGCAGAAAATAAGTTATATGGTTGCAATATTTGCACCCCTTAAAATTCAGGCTTGATACATACATTTCCATCATTCCATTGTTTGTTTTATTTTTAATTCAGAGATATTTGTGTCATAAATACTTTCAGTCAAATACCTATTTTTGGCTGTGTAAATAACAGTCAACTAAAAGTGTCAAAAGGTGTATCTTTGGTGAAGCTGCAGTATAGGTACAAACAGATTGCAATCATTATACCAGAGCTATATATTTTAACAAATAATCAGTATACACTTTCCATTCAAAATCAAATGTAGATTTTTCCTCAGCAATGACAAAGCCCATCCTATTCAGAGAGATAAGGTCATGTTGGTAAAACTGACAGTAGCCACACAGTAATAGTATCTGATCTTTTCAGAATCAACCCACAATTTGTGAAGGCACAACACAAGCCCACATTTTATGACAATCTGCCCTTTCTGAAAAAAAGATATCAGCTAGCAACAAGAATGTCACAGGTAATTGAAATAAAAAATTTGATAGAGTATATTAAGAAGACCAGATGAGGATGAAACGTGTAACACATAGGGATGATTTTCCTCAGTGGGTGGGTCACGATATTGCGGAAGTGGAAGATCCTCATTTTTCAGTTAGAGGAATCTATGGTACTTTTCTCTATTTTCTAAAAACAATACTGCAAGCTGAATCTGCAGGGGGCAGTTGAGTTACAGTATTCAATGCATGTTTGTGCACTACAGGCTCTAAAACACTTGACAGTGCTCTCCTTGATTGCAAAACTGCCACTGCAGCCAAGCAAAGCTTTAAGCAGTGATGTAATAATTCACAAAAAACTCAAGGACTTGTAAAAAAATAAATTCAGCTAAGAAATATTTTGCAAAGAGGACAGAAACATCAGAATAAGTTCTTCACAGCAGAGAATTAACCCAGTGGAAATGGCACTGTTCAAACTGGGATCATGCTTGGCTGGTGTGTTGTGGAATAGCTTTACTGAGGCTACAGGATCTTTAACTTTCTTTCACCAGCATGGCATGGCCTTTCTTTCATCTCCAGTTCTTTTCTTGATCATCGGCACCTAAACATGCCTGTAGGCACCACCTGTTTGTTGTCAGACTGTCCCAATAATACAAATCCCAGAATCATAGAATATGCTGTGTTGGAAGGGAACCACAAGGATCATTCAGTCCAACTCATAGGACCATCCCCAGGAATCACACCATGTGCCTGAGAGCACTGTCCAAACACTTCTTAAACTCTGTCAGGTTTTGTGCTGTGATGACTTCCCTGAGGAGCCTGTTCCAGTACCCAAACACTCTCTGGGTGAAGAACCTTTTTCTAATATCCAACTTAAACCTTCCCTAACACACACACTTTACAGATAGTTATCGAGAAATGTCCACCTTCTGCTTGGGGAAAATAAATGCTTAAAAAACCATGTTTCAGAGCTGTCACTACACTAGTCCCATCCTTGGTATCAGTCATACTTCTTTATCACAAACGAAAGGTCTTGGGCAGAGTAGGGTAACTTTATTATTCACGGGCCAATTATTTCTATGTTCAAGTTATTTGGCATACTTAACACACAGAAAACTTTCACTTAATAATCAGCTTTCACATGAAAATGGATCCTTAATTTAAATAGTATACATTAAACAAAGAAAAAACAAGATTTTTTTTAAATTATAAATTCTTTTATTTTCTAGTCAGTTCTTTATTTAACATATTAATACTAGCAATCAATATGATGAATAAGTATGTTGAGTTTATTTATTTTTATTGCCTTAACTAACTAAAAACAAGCCTTGGAATCAAAACAGAAAGATCCCCTCATTCGGAAAAATGTAGCTGAAATTTGTGCTAATCTTATAATTCCTCAGTAAAACCACACGCTGTGAAACAATTGTTACCTGGGGCACCTTGCAAAACAATTAAAATATGCAGAATTCAAACATTTAAAAATAAATATGATTACAGAGAGTGAACTGTCACATAACTTTATGCTGAAATCTGATAGCCTTTTTAACATCCTTAATAGCACCATAGATAACAATTATATAAGGGACTCATAGAGATAAGGGGTTTTTTTAAAACTATGTAAGAGTGAAGTCTTACAGCTGTCTTTCAAATACTTGACATACTTAACAGCGCAAGGTTTCCATCTATGCAGTTATTGTTCCACTAATTTAAAGAAGTCAGGATATCAGCCGTGGTTTTCAGTAGTTACTGCCAGAAGAAACACTAATTCAATTAAAAACTCATGATCAGAACTACAGTCACTTGTTATAAGAGACTACTCATGAGGAAACACCAAATCTCAGCATCTGGAAAATACAGCCAACAGCAACATGTGCATGAACTAAAAATTTTACCCCAGTGGCGAAACACTGCCCATTGCATCTCTAGGCTCGCTCATTGTCCAGGAACAACTCAGGAGACAAAGCACAAAGCCGTAAAGGTAAGGTAGTCTAAATGTACACAGTTCCTCTCAGGAAATAGGAGGTGTTATGTCAAACAGGATACAAAAAAGTGTGAGTGCTAAGGTGAGACTTAAGGAGGCAGAAATGCATCATTTTAGTAAGAACAGAAGTGTCAACATTCTGCAGAAGCTGTAAGTGAGTGCAGTTTATCGAAGGTGCTCAAACTGAAAACACTGCAGTAGCAAACTGAGTTTTGGAGTAGATGGTTTGAATTAATTTCCCTTGATTACCTGAAGAGTTTAATGCACTACATGTATGTGTGTGTGTGCGTGAGCTCTCTTCTGCAAGCAAGGCTTCCCTCTGCCTCTCTGCAGAAGCAGTGAAATCTGACAGTAGTTCTTATTTTTATGAATGGCACTGCACAAATAGTAATGCTTTCCCTATCTACAGCCCCAGCTGCACAAAACCTGTTCCCAAAATGCCAATTTCCCCTGCAATATAAGTGTATGCTATCATCTTCTTCTCATAGCTCCAAGGTGTGTTCTCCTCTCACTTAAAAAATTGGGATATCAACAATTGTTTCCATATGAGTATTTCTTTCATTACTGTGTCTAATTGTTTTCTTTAACTCATTTACATTTCTGTTATCAACATCATGTGGCAATGAGTTCCAGAATTTACTTCTGCATTGAAATTTACTTTGCGTTTTGGGGTTTTTTTGCTGCCCTACCTCATAATTTCAGCTGCTGCTGTAATCCCTCTCTACTAATTTTCTCCCTGCATTCAGGTTTTTACTCTTTTTTCCTGAGCTGCCTCTTCCCCAGATTGAAGACTTTCTAATCTATTTAAGCTTTCTTCTTACAGGAACTGAATTGTAACCCAGGATGGTTACATGACTGGAAATTCCCGCTCCTTTGCAAGATACAACCCAAAAATACCGAAGGCAATCCATATTCCACACATACATCAGACAGCAGTATTTGGTCACGACTACTCAGTAAGCCCATAAAATAGCACAGAAGTTTTTACAAAAAAACACCCATAAACAACACCACCACAACCCACCACCACCCAATAACAAAAACACAGAACAAACAAACAATAAAAAAACAACTATCAACTCTGGAGCTGCCCAGTAAAATTATTGTAACCTCTGAGATAGAACAGAAGAAAGAGAAGCTGTTAAATCTGTTTAGAAAAAAAAAGAAAATAATACACATGCTCTTAATACACATTATTGTTTGGTTGCTTTTTTTTGAGGAAACAAAGCCTCAACAGCATCTAGAACATTCAGAGTAAAGAAGGAGAAACAACATCTGTTTAAAGTACAGAATAATGTGGGAGTAAATATGAAACCAACAGCTGTCATAGTCTTTGAAAATGCTGTGAGAGATGTAGTGGCATAAACCAATGTGACAAAACTATGCTTTTCCAGACAGAAAGTCAAACTGTTACATGATTACAAATGACTCTAGTGAAGAGGAGTACTCATTTGTTGGAGCAATCAGTGCTGAACATGGCACTACACCATTGGAGTACATTTATTACAAGTCACCCATGCTAGTAAATACAGATAATAAACCTTTTACTGCAGTCTTTAAAGACAGTTTGGAGTGGCACTCTTTACTGCTTGCACAAACCCAAGCCAAAGCTCTAGATACATATTTTTTGCTTTGGCATATACTGCATGGATATATTCATCTGTAAAATGCTTAATTGCTGGATGTACCTTTCTGCCAGAAAAAAAAAGCTGTATACGTAGAATGAAAGTGTGAGGAATGATTTCACAGTCAAAACACAAACAAAAAAGACAATTTATCCCCAAAAGCTGCATATGACGATTCTGCATGAGAGTCACACAGAACTTTATTTATGGGGAAGCCCAAACCAGACTGAACGAAGGTTTAGTTTTCAATATTTTAGAGAAGATTTTAAGGCAATTGTGAAAGGGGGGGTTAGGAAGAGTCATATCAGTCTAAGGCTATTCATAGTTGCTGATTTATAGAGAAGACTTCATGAATTTCTGAGCAACCTACAGAATTACAACCTACTTATATAAT